ACACAGTAACACCGGCTAGATACAGTATCACCAATTGGATACAGCAACACTGGTTAGACAGGTACCACTGCTACTGTGTACAGTACGGCTGTCTGGGTGCAGTAACACAGTAGCAGGATGCTGTAACACTGCAGTTCCATACAGCACCACTGTAGTTAGACGCAGTAACACAAAAATTGAATACAGTAGCACAGTAGTTAAGTCTGGAAGTTTGTGATTTCTAAGAACTGCTTTTAAGTTTTTCTTTCCTTCCTATTTTAAAAGAACAGATTCTCTTTTTAAACATGAGAATATACAACTTGCATTTTGTACCATTTTTAACCTTATACTTAAAAATCATTCTAGAACCAGCCTGTTGCATGGTGGTTAAGGCAGCTAGATCCACATAGCCAACTGTCTGGTTCAAGTCCTGGGCCTGGCAGAAACATGTCAGGCATGTGGGTGTGCCCAAAATCCCACAAAGAGAAACAGAAGAGAAGAGATTGTGGTGTGACCACCTCCCATGTGGGGTACTTTCTTGCCTCCCCCCTTTCTGGAGAGTATACATACCCTCTGGCGAATTTATTCTAAGAATCATTTTAGATTTATAGACAAGCTGTGAAGACAGCAGTGCTCCCTCATGCTCCTCACCCGCTCTCCGAGTCAGCATCTCACTTTACTGAGTACATTTGTTACAGACGCTGGGCCAGTAGCAATGTATTATTACCAACTAACGTCAATATTCTGTTCGGATTCCGCTGGCTTTTATCTAATGTCCTCTTTCCGTCCAGGACAGCACATCGTATGCAGCTGTCATCTCTGGTCTGGGGCAGGCTCTCAGACTTCCCTCGTTTTTAATGACCTAATGTTTTTGAAAACTGGTCAGAGATTTGGTAGATTGTCCTTAATCCAGAATTGTCTAACTGGACCAGGGTCATGGGCTTGGGAAAGGTCATCCTCGCCGTCTCCAGGGCCTCAACCACCCATCCATAGCAGACCAGGCCGTCCCGCTGCAAAGCTCTGCACCCCCTGCTCATGAGGCCTTCTGGAAGCAGGTCACTGAGCGAATCCTGCAGTCAGGTGCCGATGGGGAGACTGCAATGTAAACTCTCATCATGACAACGTTACTTTTTCCAGTAAACATTCCTTTACTGAAACAAGCGTCCTGTATCGGATGAGCTGTTTCAGAGGTGTACTGCGTGTCTACGGAGGTAAGAAATGCACGCTCCCCTCGATCTGTGCTTCTCACAAGCTCACAGGGTTCCTCTCCAGCAAAGCAAACATGGTTGTCTCGTGTGCCTAGATCATGCCTGGCAAACACCTGGCATCTCCCCACGCACACGGCAGACAGTGACCACTGAGCACGGCTCCCACGGCCTCTCACCAGAGCGGGCAGGGGCGCAGGGTCTAAGCCAGCCCCCCAGTACCAAGAGCAGACTCCGCCTACATGCACGGACCCGCACCGCCAAAAGCCCACAGGAGAAGGTGAGGCTGGTACCAGTGACTAGCTCTGGGGCGTGGGGCTTCCGCTTCTCTGCATTTCTGCTCTTCCTGTAATCAGGTGGCACTCACACACCATTTAAAACTTGTAAATTTGAAAAAGCACTATACATTCAACCTGACCGAGTACGTCAGCATTTAGAGGAGTCCAGGACAGCACTTCTAGTCACAGGGTCCCCGAGGCTCGGAGGTGACTTGGCCTCTTTTGCTTTGCTCCTAAGTCACCGGGGAAGCCAGCCTCACCTGCCCCTGTTTTACCTCTCCTTTCCGGAAACTCAGGCCACTTTCTAAGGGCACGCCTGTCTCTGACATGAAACAGGGCACAGGGCAATTTGAGAGCTCCCAAGCAACCTGGCGGGTGCTCAGTTTCTTACAAAGTGATGGATTTTATCCCCAAGAGGGAACCACATGCACTTGGTGGCCTCCACGGTGCAGCATGGCTCTCACAGTATAGGGAACAGCCAGAAGTGCCCTTAGGGGGACAGCCTTCTGGGTTGTTGGGGACACCCACTGTTTTCAGGGTCAGCTCCCAGAGCTAAGAGGCCTACGGGGCACAGGCTGCACTACGCCACTGTCACACTCAGCTGAACAGGCTCACAGACCGCTGCACACGCACGACAACCAGAATTCCTATCCGGGGGTCCCTCGTGGCCTGTTGCACTGATGGGAAGCACAGAGCAGAGGCAAAGGCGTCTGCACCCCAAGTTCCACGACAGACAGCAGTGGGCAGAAGGCACCAGCTTTTCCCCACCCTGGCCCCCACTCCTCCCCGACCCCCGGGCAGGGCAGTGCTTGCTGGGCTCTGGCACCCCACAATCTCTAAAGGCTGCTCCATGAGAGCTGCACCCGGACGAGTCCACACAAGCCAGGCGGCCAGCCCACTCACGGTGGCAGGCCGCTCCCTGGTATAAATCCTTTCACTGAGTCTTTACAGCTTCTCCGTGGCGACGTGCCATCAGAATCTACCTCAGCGTAAAGAGTAGCATTTTGCAACCACCCAATAAAGCGCGCACCCCATTATTAAAGTTCTGTGCTTTAAACTCTTCCTGTGATGGCAGCCACTTAGTTCTTTTGAAAATGAGTTTCACACAGAACAAACACAAGCACAGAACAAAAGAGAAGGCACTTGGGGAGTGTCACGAGATCCCTGAGAGGAGGGGAGGGAGGATGAGGGGCCCTCCGCAGACACCCTGCTGCTCCTGTGCCCCGACTAGTCTGCGGAGACTACAGTCTAGCTGAGGCCGGGCCCCTCGCCTGGCCCGCTCCTTCCTGCCTTCCTGGCTCCTGAGCCCAAATCACAATCACAGGCCTCTGAACACCAAGCACGGTCGGCCTGCTGCCTGCCCTCCTGGCTGCACCATCCAGTGGTCTGGACTCCACCCTCCGGGCCTTCACAGGGAGGGCCGCTGGAGAGGGCCGAGGCACGGTCTGCAAACCCAGGGCCGCTCTCAGGCGCCGCGCTCGGGCCCACTTTAGGACTTGCTTCTTTTTAATTTCGTATCCCTGCCACGTCATGTCCTCCCTGTGCCGGACGTCCAGTCGGGAGAGGAGTGGGTGATCAGTCACTCGTCCTAAACTGTGAAGGCTGAGCCGAGACCTCGAGAAAACGACAACAAGCTGAGAAAACCAACAGAAGCAGCAGCCTGGGATCCTCTGCAGCGCAGGCCCCGGGGCGCGGCGGGCAAAGGTGGGGAGTCGGGTGGGGAACAGCGACTTCCATTCCGTACACCCGGAGATGCTGGCCCAATTCCGGCGTCGGCCTAGACATGCGTGGGGTTTTCATGTTCTTAGACTTTAAAGGTTGAATCATGAACTATTTACAAAACTCAGCTAGGCAGAATGACTAAGTACCCGAGGACTTCAGGGCATCATAAACGTAAGAGACTTCATTTTACGGCTAGCACTGGCAGCCAGGGCCTCATCGATAAAAACCGTCTTAATTAGGGCTCCTGTTTCTCCACGGTCTCCCTTTCCAAAAATGACAAACTTCACCTAGAGACCATCTGAGCGTTGGTTTATAATGGATCGTCCTGGAGGGACAGAGTCGTGAGGTCCTGAGTTATTTTCACAGCACAGACCAGAGAGCAAGCCCAGGACCCTGACTCTACTGCCTGGAAGAAAAACCTCACGGGGGCCAGGCCGATGTGCCCCAGACTCCAGGGCTGAGACTGCGGTGGACAGCACAGGCTGGGACTGCCAGGACCTGTGCACAGAAGCCTGCCAGCCCACTACGCTGTCAGTCCGAGGGCGGGAGGCAGCACAGTCAGGCTGACGGCCAGTCGGCCTTATTGCCCGCCAGCATCAAAACCATTTCTCTCATTTATAGGATCTCATAATATCGTGGTAGTGGGTGACCAGTTAAACCTAGATTGATACGAAAAGAGGGGGAGGAGCTGCAGTTTAATACTTGCACTTTCTCTGGCAAATCACTTCTTCCAAGCCCATAGTCCATGGAAAAAGTATTCCAAAGGCCTCCTGGTGGCTGTCACACTGTAAGGACTGGAATGGACAGAGTGCCCCCCACCCCCACCCCGAGGACTGAGTTCCCTCCAGAGCCAACCCAAACAAACAACCAACCAGAGTCAGAGGCGACACTCCGAGACAGAAGCCAGGACTACCCACAGGCTCGGCCGCTCACAGCTGGCTGCTACTGACAGAACGGTCCCTCAGGAGGCAGAGGAGAGTCCACCAGCTTACACCTGGGAGTGGGAGGGCGGGTGGCAGGTGGGACCAAGCACAGGAAAAGCCAGCCCTGAAAGCCGGCTGCACTAGAGGGACGAGCGAAGGGGACGCTGCACTAGGAAGACGGCCGCGGGGACCCCGAGCACGTGTTGGCATGTCTTCTGACACACGTGAAGAACTGCTTCTCTAAGTCCATGACACAGAGCGTCCTCATGTCCCCAGACGAATCCAAGACACTCACTTAAAGGGACACGACTGAAGGATGTACCCTTCGAGCCTGAGCGATAAACAAAAGCAACGACACCCTACGTGAAGGGTTCCAGGTTCCATCGCCACAGGGTTACTTCCGGCTTACTGTCAGAGCCGTTTGCAGAACTGCAAGAAAACCCCACCTGCCTACTGTGCGAATTCACGTTCTTCCGACAGGGACTCACCACACGCAACACGCAGCCAGCGGTCCCGCGCACAGGAGAGGCTGGAGTGCGGAGCCTCCCCACGATCCACCGTACACAGCGAGGTTCCCGGGAGGCCTCGCTAAGAGGTGCAGAGGCTACAGCAAGTCTGACATCTGCGAGGCTCACACACTGGCAGGGAGGAAGGAGGGGCCTGGAGGGAATCCACCTTGGGGACCGCAGATCAGCGAAGCAGAAAACGGGGTTTCCAAAGCAGAGGCTACCTGCGGCAATGGGGACCATGATGGAGAACGGGGTCCAGTTCAGGAACCCTGGGAGGAAGGTGGGCACCACGCAGCCAGCCACATGGCTGCCCTGAGATGCCCCCGACACTGCACGCTGGCCTCACCTTTGCCGTGGGAGGACCGCCCAGGCCGACGTGCTCACCTTTGCCGTGGAAGAACCGGCGGTAGTAGTAGGCGCCCAGGTCGATGTGCTCAATGACGTAGCGCTTCACCTTCTCCCTGTGCACGGGCTGGCTCTCCCTGGGCACCTCCAAGACCGAGACGCCCGCGTTGGTGCAGTGGGAGCTGAGCGACGCTTCGAAGGAGCAGCTCTCGCCGGCGCCGAGCGGGGCCGAGCTGGCTCGCGAGAGGGCGATGCGCCTGTCACCCTCCCCGCCGGTCTCGTTCCTGGAGTAGGGGCAGGGGGGGGGGGGCCGCCCCCCCCCCCCCCCGCCCGTCGCGTTCCTGAAGTAGGGGCAGCTGAGGACCAGCTCGTTGCTCTTGCCATCGCCCTCGTCGGCGTCCAGGTTCTCCTTGGAGTTGAGGTCCTCCTTGCTCCCGAGCGGGGACTCGCAGGTACCGGGCTGGCCTGCCGGCGCCTGGGTCTGGGACGCGGCCGACGCGCCTGTGGTTATGTTCTTCCTCTTGCCCACGTTAGCCCTCGTGGCCATGGCTTCGTTGATGTTGAACAAGATGCTCTGGACATCATAATGCGCAAAACACCGTTGGCAGTTCCAAGGGCGGACGCCCCTCTCGAGGCGGCTCTCCTCTAGGTCGGACGTGAACTTGAAGGTCTCGTGCTCACTTTTAACTGTGCGCAGCTTTCGGAAGAGGGAAGTTTCCACTGACTCGGACTTCAACCTGCGTTTGAAAGGCTTGTCCCTGTCCCTGGCCATCAGGAGAGCGCTGTCCACGTAGTCTAATCCTGAGAGGCGGACAAACTCTCCCCGAGAGATCTGGGCAGCTGCGTGAAGGCTGGGGGAGATCGCAGGGTCACAGGGGAAAAACTCGGGGAACCCAAGGGGGACCAGTGCCTTGTGGTCGTAATTCTCCACTCGGTACCCTCGAAGCATGGCAAAGAAGTTCTCTCCAGACAGGCCCTGCCTGTCGATGGATGAGGTGCTGCCGTACTCGCGGTGCAGGGCGGCCCCGGTGTTGGGGTTCACTGCATTCTGGTCCAGGACGTCCTCGGCGTCGATGTCACTGATGGTGACATCGCTGTTGCTCCTCTGCCTTACGGGGTGGAGTCCTCGCTGTGGAGAGTGGACGAAGACATCTCCGACCGCGTATTTGGCCTCCACGAAGTCCAGGTCGAGCGGCTCCTCCTGCTGCCCGTCGCTCTGGTCGCTCTGTCCATTCTGTATGACGGACGGGACGCCTTCATAGCTGGCCTGAGACCGGCTTTCCCACAGCGACTTGCAGGTCAGCTCCTTGGAGCAGTCCTTCTTAGGGGGCCACTCGGACACTCTGGCCCTCACGCCCATCTTGGGCACGGCCGGGGTCCCGTTGGCTGGACCAGCACTGCCCTCTGTGGGACCCGGGACATTCAGAGAAGCCGCGGGTCCCATGCTGCCATTGACGGCTTTCAACTTCCGAGCAAAATAATCATCCGACTGCATGATTCGGGGCGGGTCCCTGAACTTGGACAGGCCTCTGCTGAGCTTGTGCTTGTCCTCTTGGGACTGCCGGGGGTCGTTCATGTCTGCCCAGCCAGGAGCTCCGAGCCTCACCGGGGGGACCGGCAGACTCCGGCCGGCATGGCTGTCTGCGATGCTGCCCGTGCGTGCGGTTAGAAAGGCTTGTCTACCGCCGGCGTGTCCCCGCGTAACCAAAGGCAAGCCACATCCTCAGCACACGGTTCTCCAACACCAACGCACTCCTCCGCCGGCGTGCCGGTCCGTGCGCCTCTGTCCATCCCGTCAGACGGCTGGTCCTGCGGCCTTCCTGCACCAGAAGGAAAAGAGACAGGAAGTGGCCATTAGCAACTAGCCAAGCTCACGTCCAGTACGGCCCTCAGCATGGCTGCTTCGTCCTTTCTCTGCGGCTTCTGGCCCGCTCTCCCAAAGTCGGCCCCCAACTCTCACGAAGGTCCACGTCTCATCGCCGCTGCCCTCGCGCTCCTCCCTGGCCACCCGTCTTCCTCTGAGTGCCTGGCTGGACTGTGCACCCCAGGACCAGACACTCCCACACTCCCCACATCTGAGCACGAGCTCCCTCTGGGCCCCAAGGCCCGGGGCTGCTCCATGGAGCTGGTTCCTTCTCCTAACTGCTCTTCCCTCCTCAGCACCCCCTACTGGCCGACTGCAAGTTCCACAGAGCCAGGGAGAGGACCAACAGCGAACCGAGGACCGGGCAGCCTGGCTCAACACGGCAATGAAGGAGCCATCCTAAGAGCCATCCTAAGTCACATCTCGCGGTCTCCAGAAACTTCATGGCAGACCCATGTGATGAGAAAACGACGCATGGATTTCCAACTATCGCACCAGAGTAAAACTGCTTTAATTCCACCGTCTGTGAACTTTTTGAAGTATGTAAGTTTTATTATTTTTTATTTCAAAATAATCTAACTGCCTACATCCTGTAAGAAAGTGTCAATGATATGCATTAAAAAGTAGGTTTCGGAGTGACAATCTATCATCGAACTAGAGCTCAGAGACCCCCACAGTGGGAACGAGGTCTCCCAGGATTTGGGGTCAGAACCAGTAAACCTCCTGGTTCTGTATGCTGCGAGCCACTTGCTAAACACACAGCATAAAATAGCAGCACCCAGAGCTGTGAGACACCCCACCTCCCTCGGGGTGGACAGAAACCGCCACCTCCCTCGGGGTGGGCAGAAACCGCCACCTCCCTCAGGGTGGGCAGAAACCGCCACCTCCCTCAGGTTGGGCAGAAACCGCCACCTCCCTCGGGGTGGGCAGGAACTTGATCTCAGCCCCTCTTCTCTTTGATCACAAATATTTCTCTTAATATGTTCTACCTCTAATTAGACTAAAATAGTTCCAGGTATCAAGCTATCTTACTCATTGGCAAAAAAATTAAAGAATAATTCCACCTGTTCTGAAAATAAGGCTAGCAATCGAGGTATAATATGGCGTGTTTCCTCACCATTCACGAACGCATAAGAAATAACTACAGTTTAATTGGAAATGTGGAAACCCCAAGGAGCCGCACAGCAAAGACCTCTTTCCATGGGCTGGCGACCAGGGGTCTCCGGGAAGGGCGGGCTGTCTCCTCACGGGCAGCTCCTCCCACTGTTAGAGCGACGGCAAAGGCGGCCGAGTGTGAGCCGCCGTCCAGAGCTGCTCTGGCCCGAGACGGACCGGTGTCCCGGCGGCGGACGAGCACGGAACAGGAGGGACACGGGTGCCCCTCGGCTCTTGGGGAGACAGACAAGGCGTCGTACCTATGTCACTCGGAACTGCGACGTGGGAAGGGTCAAACAAGACTGAGTTGTGGTTATTTCCTACACGTCTTAGGGTATTATCAAAGCTGCTCCGAGAGCCTGAAAAGTGACAGCTGACACAGAAGAACACCTCCTGTCTTAACGCTCCACCGACAGGTGTTTGACTCACCACGCCAGGCTTCTACAGAGTCCATCCGTTCTAAGAGTTCGAAGGCTTAAAAGTATTTCCAGTGGTTGGCTCAGGACTCTGAATTCCCGGCAGGCAGCGAAGCCACTCAGAACTCATTCCCGGTCACAGAGCCCTGGTTTCTAGGTCCCGTGGACACAGGACCCTGGCCTACTCCACACCACTCCAGCACACTGAGCCGTGCGGAACCAGGAAGTGAGTACTCGCCGCTCTAAAAAATCACAAAAACAAAATGTTCTGAAGGAAACCAGGTAAAAGTAAAATTAGTGAAAAAAGGTAGAAAGAACAAACAAATCCAAAAGCCATTTAAAAAAAAAAAAAAAAAAAGAAGACAGCTATATCCCTTCCCGGACCTGAACAATGAGAATGTAGACACAGCACGCATATAGATTACCTTAAGATAAATAACAGAATTATACCACTCACACAACTGTGGAAACCCAGAGGAAATTAACAATTTCCCAGCAAAACACAAATTCCTAACATGACAGAAGAGTGGACAGCTTGAATAGACAGGTGACCGCTGACGAAACAAACCTACCTAGTCCCTCCCTAAAAGTGACACAGCATGGGCTGGCCCCTCAGGCCAGTACGAAGGAAGCCAGATCTTACAAGACTGGCCATGGCTCAAAGCCTGGCCCAGGGGCTTCAAAAACACGCCAGGCACATGTGCATGCATGCCCCAAATCTTGGAATAAAGAAGTGGGGGGAAGCATTGTGGCATGACCATGCCCCGCTGACGTTCTCTGTCTCCCAGGCAAGCACACACACCATTCGGCAATTAATTAAAAGTGATTTAGTTGGTGTAATGGCTATGCCGCTGGACTCTCATGTAGTTGACCATGGTTTGAGTCCCAAACTTGGTGGCTTAAACTCAGGCCAGGCGCGTGTGCATGTGCATCCAGTATCCCGAGAGGAGAAGAGATTGCAGCGTGTCATCCCCCCCCACCCGAGGGTGATTTCTCACTTTCTGTCTCTCTGTCTCTTTCTGTCTTTTGTCTCTCTGCATGCACCCTATAGCAAAAACCTCTCCAAAAAAAACAGTGCTGTAGCAGACATGCAGGAAACGCTAAGAGCCGTCTTAAGCACTGCTTTGAAATGTCTTTACTCTCCTAGTTATAAGATCACATACATGCCATCTTAAAAAGTAGAACACACCCCATCTCTTTCCCGCACCAACACACAAACTGCAGTGTGTGGTGGATCGTTGAATCTGTGTGGAGTTAATTCTACCCCGACACATGAATGCGTTTGACCAATCACAGTGCTGCATCCCCTGGCCACAGTGATCGGTCCTGGTCCGCAGCCTGACCCGCCTCCTTGCACCTCCTCTGAGATTTTGCTCCACCTCGTCCCCCTCGCCCCTCCTTTGTTCTCTATGCTCTCAGTCAGTCCGAGCGTCTTCCAGGTCTTCCAACAGCCCACCCTGCAGGCCTGTGTCTAAGCTGTCCCCTCCAGAGGGCCGAGACCCGTCCTGGCCCAGCTGACAGCCATGCACGTGCGCCCGCCACTCTCCTCCCACCGGGTGTCCGATATGTCCTCTGCTCAGACACCTATTTCCTGCACCTGGTGACGACTCCTGACTGCGTCTCCCCAGAGCACGGGCTGCATTCAGTGCTGGCTCTGGTTCTGTCCACCACAGATCTGCAGTGGCTCGCACGGCTTGTGGTATGTGGCCGATGTCCAACAAGTATTATCAACTATGCAAATAAATCACTAAATAATACAGTAGGCACTAACCCTTTCTAAGGTATTTAAGCGGCAGGTTCTCATAGCTGCAGAGTACACAGCCATCGTAAAAGTTTAATTTAAGGTAACTTTGCAGAAACAAGTTCATTGGATAAAGCAGATAATGGGAATAGTTGCTAACATTTTGCAGGACACGAAGTACCGCGAGGCATTTTCCCAAATCCTTATAACAAGAGGTGAACATTAAATTCAACAAGGACTCGCCTCTGAAAGGAGCCTCCCGCCCTCACTTCCGCATCAGCCAACAGCCAAGTGAGGTGATCGCAGACAAGTCTCAGACTGCACGGAGAGGAATGCCAGACTTCATCTCCTAAGCATCCACGCTTTGCCTGCCAGGCGTGAGGCCATCCCCACCCAAACACGGTCAGTAACGGGAGGCCTAGGTCGCCCGTCCCGCCCCATCCTTGTCCCTTTCGACCATGGGCAGGTCTCCCTCTTCTCTATCTGACACACCTCCAGCTTCCCAGCACTCTGGGTGCATGCCCGTGACAGGTGCACCACCACAGCACAGGACCTGGAAACCGCGCTCAGAGGACCTGAGCTGCGGGCACCTCAGCTTCACGTCCAAGTTGCAGATGGAGCTCAGCGCACCAAGGAGCCCCCACGCTCGCCCCCGTTCTCGTCTTCTCAACGATCGGCTGCCCCGCCTTCAGGGACGCACCACCAAGCCTTCTACAGCCTGTGCAGAACTGGCTACGGTGGTTCCGACTGGCGACGCAAAGCGCAAACAGGGAGCCAGGGTGTTCTCCCTGGGGGCACAAGTGCTGCCTAAGGTAGTGTTGAGGAGCCTGACCCAGACCCTCACATGGGGCGCAAGGTGGCACCTCACTCTCGCCCTCCTGCCTGCCGTGTCTTCATGAGGAAACGTGGGTCCTTCTACTCTCGGGAGCAAATGTCTAAATGAATTCAGGCTGCCAAACTGGTGGGGCTAAAAAATTAAACACCAAACCAGAAGAAATGCAGGGGTCATGTGGTCCTTTCCCTAGGTCCTGACCTCAACAGGGGGTCTGTGACTTCCCAGGGACAGGCATATCCTCCCTTCCAGGTGACATCTCTCACCTGGGTGGTGAGACACGGTACAGGAAGTGATTAAAATGAGATCTCTTCATCATTTCTTAAGGCAGCTTTCCCTCGTCAGTCTGTCTGCCTGTCTGTCTTTCTTTCGTTTGTTTTGGCTGTAGGGCACGTGATCTCACCAGAGAGAGAGAGAAGAATCCCCTCCGGGGGCATGGCCATATCGTGATCGCTTCTCCTCCACTGTCCTCTCGGGACTCTGGGACTCAAACCACTCAGTCAGCCAGGCGGATCCAGCTCCTTAACCCCCACACCACCCGCCACCCTGTTCAAGGTAACTTTTAGGGCCCCAAAGGGCACTGCCCCCGAAGTTTCCAAGTCTTCTTAGATTTTCAAATTCCATGGCTTTTGCTCCACAGTAAAAATCAAAATTATCCAAGCACTTAGGCAGCTTGGGAACGTGTGCGCCCTCGAGGAGCAAGGTCACCCCAAAGGGAAGGGCGGGGAGGATGGCATCGCAGAGCTTGGAAGAACAACCCGTCCTTGCGCTAATGGCCTAGGTAGAAATTGTTAAAGGAACGGAAA